AAATAAGTCATTAGCTTCTCACACACGAATGTGACAAGCCATTCTTCCAAAAAGGAAAAAAAAAAAGAAATTCTTATTTGTGTGTGTGTGTGTGTGTGGGGGGGTGATTTTTGTTTTTAAATCTCAATCATTTATTAAAAATGGTTGCCTTGCAACAATCATAGGTTAGACGAATAAATAAATGTTAGAAAGCGAGCAAGAAGGGCATAGAAGGAAGAAATAAATTGTTTTATGTTTTCACAGTTAAAACAGAAACAATAGTTTTACAAAGGTATATGAAGTTAAAAGGCCATTCTTCAAGAACAAATATTGCAACTGTGTCGTATACAATAAGAGGGATTCATGGATTGTTTACATTTATAATACATGACAAAGGTTATATTTAGTGGATATACTGGTTTAAGTCACCATATGTTTCTTAAACAGTATAATTGTTATGTAATAGCTTAGGTTTACAAGAATCTTTTATGATGAAAATAGGCCTTTCTCCTTGGCTTCAACCACGGCTTCCAGACCACTTCAGAATTTCCTGCAACTTCTCTTGAAGGCTACCTTGTTTAATTTGGTGAATGATGCCATAATCCTTGCCTACAGTTCATCTTTGTTGTTACCAGGAGTTTTGTCGGTCTCTCGCTCATACGAATTACAGTTTGTTTTACTGTTGCAGTTTGGGGAGTTAGGTAGCCATATGTAAGGGGTGATGTGATCGCAGAAACTGTCTGACAGCCACGATTTGGTGATACTGCTTGTGTTGCATGATGCAGAGTCCTGTTGGCATAGGCAAAGGGTCTTCCAGCAGCCACCCTCTTGACTCAGGGGATCACTACCTCTCGAGGCACGTGATGTAGGCCTCCGTGTCCCTCTGGGAAGATGAATTGTGGCATAACGTCGCTATCACTAGTGATCCCTCTATACATCATTATGTTGACTGGATATATGATTCAACTCTTTCCGAATCCTCTGCACTGTCTATAGATTGACACCCAAACACTCTGAAATATTCGTATTGGAGATTTCGGTGCGAATGCCAAGCAGTACAGCACATTTTGAAATTGCCTGCGAAGTGAATTACGTCATGGTGCTCTTTTTCTAACAGATGTTGCCCAACTATGCCCAACTAACCCTATTATACTCTTTGTATCGACAAAACAAACAAAAAAAAAACGTGCATGTACGAAATTAAAATATAAAATGGCTTCAGTTTATCAATAGAACCCTCTGTGTGTGGGTTATATATATATATATATATATATATGGGCGTGGGGTGGTTATAATATTTATTCTTATTTAATGAAACTCTTTACAGAAAATATTTTAACGAAAATGTTAATCTTTCCATTTTCCCCTCTTTAGTCGACCCTCAGAACTTTATGAAGGCCTAAATCGATACTGATTAAATAAAAAACCGAGAGAACCAATGTATCGAAACATTATGATCATAAACTTTTCCCCTTAAATATCGATTAACTGTAAAGACCATAACTTTAATATGCGTCATTTGATTTTCCGAGTTTTTTTTCGGGCACTTCAATTACTAATTTGAGTTGTTGATGTTATCTCAAAGTTTCGGCCGATCAACTCTACAACCTTCTTCATGCTTATAACTTTTAAAGAAAGTTTTAATTTTTTTGTACACAACAAGATGGTCGTTAAAATATCAACTTATATTATGCAAATTAGTTTATTCCAGCAGTACTAATTAGGTACACAACGCCTGGTTAAGGGGCTACCGTTATCGAAAAAAATTTGTTAAATGTTAGTTAATAAGTAGCGAGCTCGATTCTCAATGTGGGATCTATAATGTGTCCATGTACCAAACTAAGCTAAGCTTAGCTTCGAAATGCCAGGTTTGAATTTTCATATATTTTATTTCTTTTTCAGAATCGAACCAAAATTCATAACTGAAGAAAGAATTAAAAATCGAGTAATTTTATTTTATTCTTATTTTTATTTGAATAAGAAGAAAAAGGCAATGCAATGACAATCATTAATAAATTATATCGGGTCAGAGGAAAGACTGAGTTCAGCTGTGTAGCATAAACCCAAGATGTCATTTCAACAAAATGGCATCAATGCACAGACGGTCTGCACAGCGATGGAATCTTTAATGAAAATATTTGTTCGCCGAATAATTTCTCGAAATTCCGAAAATTTATGTCCACTATTTTCTTCTGATCTTTCACCTCCCGATTATTTTATGCGGGGGCGGGAAACTTTAAAGAACGTCTATATATGAATATACCGCAGATAATTCAGTAACTCAAGGATGACATTCGTTCAAAAATACGGAAGCAGCAATTAGAGTTTTTAACCGCCTTTATGAAGAACGCTATCGAAATTTCTCTTAACTCATGTTAATCACCCCCGCCCACTAACGAGCAAGGGGAGAATGGCACTAAGACGCAATGGTTACTGAAAGAGAAAGAGAATGTGAATGACAAGATATTAATGAGAAGAAATGACAATAAAAAAAAAAGCAAGATTCAAGAAAACAGAAGAGGCAGATTAGCGTTGCATTTGAATTTTTGAAGATAGTAAGTCAAGCAAAGCAGGAAACCAAAAGAGATGTCCAGCGGGGAGAAATGCGAGTAAGGAAAATATTAGAATAATGTACTATTATTTCTAGAAATTTCAGCAGTAAAAAGATGAGACCTAGTTGCCAATTTAGGGGTACCTTTATATTCATACGGTCGATGCATCAAGGAGGAAATCTCATTGGAAGAATTGTTATAAAAATATTTATAGAAAAGACACAGGAAACCCGCAAAACGGTGGCGAAAAAGGAACTAAAGTCGAGATGCTAAGTCAGAACCGATAAAATTACAGGAACTTTGGATTGTGTCCAGAATCTATAGGTATATAGCAGGAGCAGAAGACTAGATATGGTAGTAATATTCAATGCACAGACGAATGCAAGAAGAATATTGTCAAAAATTCTCTCGCACGACACAGTGAGCCAACTTTCTGAGCTGCAGAAATCAATATAATCACTCCAATTCTTCTTAGTGGAAGAAGCAATCAGTTGATCTGCTGATGGAAGGTAAAAATTGTTCTGTGATGACTAAATGATAGTAGTTTCGTTTTGGTGGCCTTAAACTTCATAAACCATTTCTTACCCCTTCTTTCTGATTGGAACTCATTTTCGTTATCTGCTGCCAATTTTATTTTATCAAAGTTAGGGAATATATTCCCAGTGTTTGAATTTTAATTATGTATAAAACTATTTTTGAACAATAGAAAATGTTGAAATTACTAGGTTTTGAAGTGACCTCTGGGATAGCTTTTAATTTATACACTGAGGATAACTCAAACTTTTCTTTAATTAAAAGAAAACGCATTCTGAAATCTGTATTGGTCTTATCCAACCTTGTTTAGACAGATCATTTGTATATATATATATATATATATATATATATATATATATATATTACTGTTAATGTTGAATATGTTAATTTCAATCTATTCTTGTCTGGCATACGAAATTATATATATATATATATATATATATATATATATATATATATATATATATATATATATATATATATATATAATAGAATGGCCGTAACATTGACTACCTATGTTTGTTCAGAATTATTGTTGTAATTGGTATCGATCAATTACTGATTTTTGTTTTTCTACTTATCATACCTGTTGACACATGATTTCTTGTATTTCACATGAGTGAATAGGCATAAAAAACTTTATTATGATTTTCTCCGACATATTTAAATTTGGCACAAGGTCATGTTTTATGAAAAAACAAATGTGAATCAAATTCATGCACTAGTGATTCTAATAATTAAAAATGCTAAGTTTGGCATGAGGTCAAATTTACAAATCTCCCGTTAAAAATTCAACAATAATCAGTTGCAAGAGTAGCACAATCTACTAGAAAAAGCATGTGTTTCCTTTGTAAAGTGTGTGTCTGTATGCATGCGTAATTATTAATGCATGACTGTATGTATGTGTCGGTTGGTGCGTGTCTTTGAGGAAATGTAGGACATTGATTCTTGGAAAGGATTAACATATTGGTTGCCTGGGTAACACTGACTGTATTGATTTGAAGTGGTTCACCCATTTCAGTGTCTGAGTAGCCGACCGACCAACAGCCTGACAATCCAACCTTTTATTGCAGCATGTGCCCTTAGAGACTAAGAAAACGACTAACAAACCGGGTAGGTAAAGACTTAAAAAGAAATAGCTTCGAGAGATAGGCGATAAAAAAGTAAAAGTGTCGAAAAATAATAAAGAAAATGTAAAAGAGGGAAATGAAAAAGAAGAGAAAGAAAAAGAAAGAAATATAATTACAGAAAAGAAGAGGAGAAGGAAGAAGAAAGATGAAAAGAGAAATAAGAAATCAGAGAGAAAGAAAAAGAATTAGGTGAAGAAAGAGAAATATGTTCGAGAGGAAAAGGTATATCCGTTTGTATGGTTGGATTTCGTTATTTACTTAGCTCCTCTTAGTGTGTTGCAAGATCACATTAATCGAGCTTACAGTAAACCTGAGCTCTACCGGGTTGTATAATGACAGTGTTTGGGTCTAGATGAAAGCCAGGATTCAAAATTCTGATTTTCAAGGTAGAGAGCCATTTCCTCTTTAGAAGCTTGGAGTAACACCATCTACCTCATCTTTTTTCATCTCCGCCATAGGTGGACTTGTTCTTTACGAAATAGAGAGACGAGTTGCTAAAGATCATGGTACAGTATGTACACACACATCGTATATATAAAATGGATTGATTTTTTTTTTTACAGCTTATCAAATTTTGCAGGCTACGTAAAACCAGAAAATATATTTAGATTGTAAGAATATTTTGGAGATAATGACTTACAAGTCCTACTAATTAACACGTAGCTGGAGGAAGAGGATGTGGATTCATACCTTTCTCAAAGGCAGTTGAGTTTAAGTGAATATATCGAGTCCGATTGAAATGCGAACTCGGTTCTCCGATTCCAAATTCCGAGCCGTTATCCATTACACTACTTGGACATCCAAGCTTACAGCACCTGGTATTCACAAGCGATCACCCATCTCCGTACTTACCAGGCTCTATGTTGCTTAACTTTGATGATCGTACGAGAATTGGGGTTTCAACGTGACGTGGTGTAAACCCACGACGTAATGAAAGACAACCCAGATTCAATATCTTCTTTTTTTTTTTTTTTATAGTTTTCCAAATAGAATTTGAATATAAATTGTCCATTGTCTTTCGAGCACTTTCGGTTTTCATAAGCCGTTATAAAAATAATGTCTTAGGAAACAATGCGTACCCAGACATATCGGCGCCAAATTAAATCTTCCATAATGGCTTATAACATCCGAACGCGTTCAAAAGATATTCGGTGATTTATCATCATGTTCTCAGAAACCAGAAAACTGATCAATAGAAAAATTAAATAAGGAAATGTTAAAGAATTTTCGTTGGTTTTTCCACCCAATCGGCATAATTTAGAATTATATTGTTCAAATTCCCTTCGTACATTGTTGGAATATCATGCATTTATTTATCATTAGAAAGGGTTTATAGATTGATTCGTTATTCGTTTCTATATCAGATGAAGGCATTTGTTAACTGGTGTGTTAGTTTGTAAGGACTTAATATATAGCTATAAAGAAACGTTTAATTAAATCAGAAACTGATATTTCCCTACCAATGGATTAAAGTATGAGTTGCTGACTTATTACAAACCAATACACACTGTTTAATAAATAAAAATAGGGCGCCTATTTCAAACACGGAGTATTCAATATAATAACGTTTTAAGTAATGAATGAAAAAGTTCTTTAGAAATTGTTTTATTTCGTTTCGGATATGAAACTGGGAAGATATAAAGCTTTTGAGAGAAAAATCTTAGTGAATAGAATGTGTTTGTCTTAAAAAAGGAAAATAGAATCCTGTTTTCTGTGACGTTCTCCGTGATCGAGCAGTAAAGCACACTGTATCAAACGGTGGTTTCATCTACAAAAAGGACGCAGATTTGAACACTGCCTGGGAACATATTTTCTTTACTGAGATTTTTAACACACACGTTTTAATAAATAAAAATGGGGACGCCTATTTCAAATACTATAATAACGCTTGAAGTTTTACTATATATATATATATATATATATATATATATATATATATATATATATATATATATATATGTGTGTGTGTGTGTGTGTGTGTGTATGTATCATATAATGTGTGTGTGCATGTTTAGCTAAGTATGGCGCAAGTTAAAATGACAAAGAAATGATATATAAGAAGATTTTATAGTGCTAATCTTTCAACACGAGAGAAAAAAAAAGGTTTGCAGTCTCGTATCCAAGGTAAACCTTAGAAGTATCATTGTAGTTTACTCAAATATTTATCGCTTGTGCTTCCGTGTGTATCTTTTGAGAATTGTTTGATGAAAAGTGATAAATTACTTTATTTTAGTAAATATCACAGCTGTATACACACTGTAAATTAGCTACTGTCAAGCTTACATGTTTATTCTGAAAACAAATACAGTGGAGTGAACAATAGAAGGACTAGATAGCCAGGGTAAATATTTAATAAAGATTATATGAATTTATATAAATGATACATTTCATTAAAAGACGATGGAAACTTCTGCACAAAACTTTTTTTTATATATTATTGCTCTAAATCTGATTTTCATGGATGAACGTGTTTCATTGAATATGCCCGTTTATATATATGAGCATTTCACCCGAAGCAAGGCGGGAAGCCACTAGGACGCAAGGGGTTACAGAAAATTTAGAGCAAGATCAGGTAGGAGTGATAGAAGAAAGGATGAGGGTAGTGGATAGATCAAGGCAACTGGAGATGTCGATTGACATTACACTTGAATAGCTGGAGATTATGGCTCACAGGGAAGCAGGAATAGGGAAGGGAGTTCCACAGGCGAGAGGTGCGAGACATGAAGCTATTGGAGTAGAAAAGACGGCTACATTTAGGAGTTTCGACAGTGAAGGGGTGAGAGCGGGATCCCAGCCTCGTATGGCGCTTGAACTCATGACGTCTGGGAACCAGCGAATGCAGCTCTCCGGAGCAATTTCCATGAAGGTATTTGTAGAACAGACAGAGGGAGGCGACGGCGCGTCTGTAAGAAAGTGACTGTAGACGAGACGCCAGAGCAGGGCCAACTACATTACATATATATATATATATATATATATGCACACAGGTGTGTATGTGCCTGAATATGCGTCTGCAACAGGGATTGGCCAGTCGCTCTAGTAGACGGGCATCCACGGATACGAGTGTCCAGCCACACACACACACAGACGTACAAGGTATTTGTTAGAGGGAAGGAGCGCAAGAAAGCCAGTCAGTGATATCAGCGTAACCTGAAGCAGTTAATGCGGGCATTATTGAATTAGTGTTTTGCTACAATTTGGGAACAAGCTTTGAAGACCTCTTACTTTCAGTTTGTATTCCCAGATAATTAAGACCTTTTCAAATGAAGTCAACCCATTGATGTCCACCGTAAAATCCGGTATAAATTATAATAATTGAAATAACATTACGTTGTGTATAGTAAAACTGAAAAAAAATCTTTTAAAAAATTGCTTTAATTATAAGTTTCCTAAGAAAATCCGATTTTAATTCTAGATTTCTCAAAAGTCTGGCGGTAATTATTGATTTATAATAATTCATTTTTTGTTTACAGACTTCTACGACTAACGCATGGATACCCACCTTCCAAACCTGAGTCGGTCAACATTAACGGATTAAAAAAGAAATATCCAAAACTTTCACATGAATGATAGATAACGAGGAAACTTTTTATGTACCGTGTCGCTTCCGGAGGAGTACGATCATGGCTCTCTACAAGTTATCTGCTGTTTTACTGTGTCTATTGCCTTCAGTATATCCTGTCAGTGTTAAATTCTCCAAGACCTCTTTTCGCATTGTTTCCTAGAAATTTCAATAATCGCTTTCTGATTGTAAATGTACTTTTTCTTTTCATTTTCCTTAAAAATTCCCCGTTATTCATATGTTCAGTTCACATTGAATTTGATATTGTCTTCACGGATTACTGTAACGAACTGTCTTTCAAGCGTCATTCAAAGTTAGCCTTATTTGCATCTTATAGTGTATACATTGTATTACTTTATACACTCATCATTGTTAGAATATAAGAGTACAATTTTAAGAATATACGCTGGCTTAACCCGGACATTCTATAGCTTAAAAAGGCATAATTTTTATACGTTAAAAATGTAGATTTAAAAAATAATTTCACCCTAAGCATAATGATAATGCCAATAGGACGTATGGGGTTACTAGGAGTGAAAGAGAATGAGAAGATTTTATTGATGTGAAAGAACAATAAAAGATGGCGATTGGCGTTGCATTTAAAATCTTGAAGATTTTAGTTGGCAAAAAAGAAAAAAAAAAAGAAAAAAAGAAAAAAATTTCTGAAGAGAGTTCCACAAACGTGAAAAACTATTAGAATAGATCATACGGATGCATCTGGCGAGTTCAACAGTAAAATGGTGGGACCTACTTGCCAATCCAGTAGCGCGCTTAAATCGATGCGATCGAGGCCCCAGGAAGTAAGCTCATCAGAACAATTTCCATAAAAAAATGTATAGAAAAGAGAGAGGAGAGTGACATCAAGAATCTTTCAATATATAGTAGGAGCACCAAACAAGATATGGCAGAAATATTCAATGAACGGAACAGTGGCAGATTTATAAATGTGCAAGATGGATTTTGATGACACACATGAACTAATTTCCCTAGTTGGTAGGCCTAGAATTGATTCAATACAGTCACTTCGTGTCGGAGGAAAACGTGAACCCAAGAAAGTACAAGGAGTTGCCCTACTAGAGTTTAGCATCAACAATGCTGATGACAGACAAAAAAAGATTTCTACAGTTAAAATTTACAAACCATTCCTTGCCCCAGTTAACCACTGATAAATAAAGCAACAGTCGACTATAATACAGAATATTATATTAAAATTTTGTTGAAGATAGATGAATTGCAGGCGATGGAAGAAGCTATTAAAAAATTAAAATTTATTCATAATTGGTTATGTCGTTTTATAAGACTAATTTTAAAATTTCATTCCAATTACATCATAAAAATATAACCAAGTATGGGTAAAGTTTCCAATATTTTTTTTGTTTTTGTTTCAGAAGTAGCGAACCACCAGAGAAAAGATTTGAAAAAATTACATTTATCAACTCTAAAACGACACACTGGTCAAATTTGATTAACCTCTCACAAAATGGATTTTGTGAACCTCTGCTTGTAGAAGGTTATTCAAATAATGAAATGCAAGAGGTTCTAATGAATTGAACAACGCTGCAGTTACCGAATTTATCTGCACAACTGCAAGTTTGAGAAAGAGCAGTTAAACTATGGAAGCTCCACAAAGTATATATGGACAAAAAGCCATATATTTTCCAAGCAATACAAAAAAAAAAAAACATCAAGTTTATTTGGAATTAATATTGAAATAGTAAAATTGTGCAGTTACTTTGTAAACAAAAACCTGAGGTAATTAGTTATTTCTGTACATCTTTCAGACTATTTTAAAACTAAATTCTCAAAAATTGTTAAAAGCTATGAATCTAATTTTTGTTGTCAGTACTTATCACATCAAACCCCAGCTTCTGTACTAAGTGCAATATTGATTTTCTAATGAAATTGAAAAATCAATCAGCCCTAATGTGCATTGTAGCAAACCGCCCTCTTCCCCTTCATATTTCATTGATGAGATGTACACAGTGCGATGGGTAAATAGCCGCCATTTTATATTTTTAATTTCGCATATGCTCGTTGTTTGTTTCTGATTTTGTCAACTGCACAGAATAGTAGGGTCAGTTGAGCACCGTCTGTAAGAAAACGAACACCATGACACAATTCACTCCGCCAGAAAATTGGAAACATCATGCTATACTTCTTGGCATTCGCTCCCGAAGCTCCAATACAAACATTTCAGGGTGTTTGGGTGTCAGGCTGAGGACCTTGCAGAGGATTTGGAGAGAGTGGGATAATATACCCAGACAACGTTGTACGAAGTGATCACTAGTGATGACGACGTTATGCCTCCATTCATCTTCTCACAGTAGCTCAGACTCAGCACAA